CAGTATTCTCCTGAGTTTGATGTCCTTTGATTGGTTTGTGACCATTGACTAGTTTGTGACCATCAGAGTACATGTGTCTTTTCCAATTATGGTTTTCTCCAGATATATGCCAAAGGAGTAGGATTGTGGGATCATATGGTAGCTCTGTTTTAGCATTCTTTTTTTTTTTTTTTTAAGGAATCTCCATACTACTCTACATAGTGACTGTACCAATTTACATTCCCATTAACAGCATTGGGGCTTCCCAGGTGGTGCAGTGGTAAAGAATTTGCCTGCCAATGCAGGAGATGCAAGAGACAAGGGTTTAACCCCTGGGTTGGAAAGATCCCCTGGAGGAGGAAATGGAAACCCACTCCAGTATTCTTGCCTGGAAAAAAATCTCCCTGACAGAGGAATCTTGCAGGCTACAGTCCATGGGGCCCCAAAAAGTCGGGCACGACTCATCAACTAAACTACAGCAACGGTGTGTATGTATCAACCTCAGATTCCCAATTTACCCCTCCCTTTTCTCCCTGGTAGTCATAAGTTTCCTTTTTACATTTGTGACTCTATTTCTGTTTTATATATAAGTTCATTTGTGCCATATAAGTGATACCATATGATGTTTCTCTTCTGATTTACTTTACTCAGTATGATAATCTCTAGGTCTGTCCATATTGCTGCAAATGACATTATTTCATTCTTTTTCATAGCTCAGTAATATTCTACTGTATATATGTAGCACATTTTCTTTACTCATTCCTCTGTCGATGGAAATTTAGGTTGCTTCCATGTTCTGGCTATTGTAAATAGTGCTGCAGTGAACATTGGAGCATATTTATCTTTTTAAATTATGGTTTTCTCTGTATATATGCCTAGGAGTGAGATTGCTGGATCAGATGGTAGCTTTATGTTTAGTTTTTCAAGACACCTCCATGCTGTTCTCCATAGTGGCTGTATCAATTTATATTTCCACCAACAGTGTAAGAGGGCTCCCTTTTCCCCAAACCCTCTCCAGCATTTATAGTTTGTAGATTTTTTAAAATGATGGACATACTGACTGGTGTGAGGTGATAGCTTATTGTAGATTTGATTTGCATTCATCTAATAATTAGTTATGTTGAGCATCTTTTTATGTGCCTCATGGCCATCTTCATGTCTTCTTTGGAGAAATGTCTATTTTAATGTTTCTCTTGTAATTAATACATACTTTATAATAAAGGACTAAGCTACAGCTTTTATCTTGTGATATAACTATGGATTTTCGAATTGTTTTGGTCAAAGTGTCAGGAAGCCAAGGAGTATGCTGCCCAAAATTTTATATTAAATTTTACAATCTGTCCCTTTTAAAAACAGAGGAATAATAATTTTCTGGAGTTTCAGGGACACTATCCCAATAGAAAATCAATGTGTGAATTTTCAGGGAACCTAAATGATATAGAATCTTCAGTCTTAGACTTTGAGAAAATTTTAACTCCAGGTTTTGATGCGGTCATTAGGGTTTAGACTTCTGGAAGGAAGAAGTTAATTGAAGAGTAATAAAGTATGAATTCACCTGGCTCATAACCTGGTCTCCTAGGAGCAGAGAATCAGCAGAAAAATGTCTCATGTTCTTTAGATGAGTGTCCCACTGGGAAATCATCTACATGGATTTGGAAGTAAAGGAGGGAAATATACCTAATGAGCAGGCAGAGAGCTGTAAACACCTTTTCACTTCAGTCCCCTGTGAGTACAAACTTGGATTGCGTGGGGCACAGTTAGCCTTTTGTTGTCCTTGGTCTGGATCAGGGAAGGATGCCTGACCCCTAACAGCTGATCTGTGGGGACTGAGTTTCAGTCTCCATCATCCACCACCCAGGGAGGACTTCCACACAGAGAGTTTCCATCCAGGTTAGTTCTGCTGCCCAAGTGATACAGAAGGTATCAGATAATATGGAAGCTATCTGGTTATCTGAGGTCATCTGAAAGCCAATCCAGTCTAGCCCAGTGTCCAGAGATCACTGTGGTTGTTAGCTTGTTTGGTGTGTGTGTGTGTGTGTGTGCACATGCATGCACACGGGTGCGTGCTGTGCACGCACTCAGTCATGTCCAACTCTTTGTGACCCAGGCTCCTCTGTCCATGAGATTTCCAGGCAAGAATACTGGAGCGGGTTGCCATTTCCTACTCCAGGGGATCTTCCCAACCCAGCAATGAAACCTGAGTCTCCTATGGCCCCTTCATTGGCAGGCTGATTCTTTACCACTGTGCCACCTGAAAAGCTGTTTGATTAATAGATCAATGTATTTTTATGATGCTGTAAAGAGATGTGAACATTTAACTCAGCAATTTCAGGGTCTGTGATACCAATTAAATCTTAGTGATGGAAATCCAGTTAAAAGGGGGACCGGGAGGTGTGATGTACTTTGAGTAAAGTGAAATTAATATCCAAGAGCTTATTAATTAATAGGAGTAAACAAATAGGATATTAGTTGTGGAGAGATGTTGAGGGAAGTGTGGGGTTTCCTTTCATTTTTAAGATAGTGCCTATTTGACTATATACTCATATGATAAGAAGATCAAGACCAAGGAATGACTGCAAATGAATCTTTACAATAGCATTTCATGAGATACATGTTTCAGAGTATTTTCTGTCACTCAAGGTGTCCACGTGGGAAAAAAAAATATTTTATATGTCAAAGGTATGCAACCAGCTTTATTCTGCAACTATTTATTACCTTGTGAGGCTGAATATATATGTGGATTTGTTAGACATTTGCTTTCTTGATGCAAATTATAGGTATGTGGCATTTGATTAGATATAGTGAGTTGAAATATTTTCATTCTTGCTTTTCACTAAGTTCTTTCAAAGAATTGAAGTTTTTCCACAAACTGACTGCTTGCCATTTAGCTCTTTTACATATTATAAATGTGTCTGTGGGCAACTGTGAGTATTTACAACTTTTCATGATCAAATCAATCCACCAACCATAGACTGCTCCCCCCATTGCATTTTAATTTTTCATTTCTTTGCTGAAATATTTGAGGTGTCACTTTAACATTCTTCAGTTTCAAGTCATTGCTTTAAACAAAAATATTAGTGAAATTTCCTCTATCTCCTTAGTGCTAATAAATCATTTGTGTACCTATTTCCAATGTGGCAAGAAGATCCCCTGGAGAAGAAAATGGCAACCCCCTCCAGTATTCTTGCTTGGAGAATTCCATGGACAGAGGAGCCTGGTGGGCTATAATCCATGGGGTTGCAAAGAGTTAGACATGACTGAGTAACTAACACTTTCACTTTCCAGAGATGAAGTTATTGAATTGTAGTCTCTTTCTAATTATTTCTGATGAAACTCCATTCTGTTTTATATAATGGCCATTTCACAAATTACACGGATTTTACAAATTATGTTAACACCAATAGTGCACAAGGTTAACTTTTCTCCACATTCTTGCAATCACTTTTTAGCTCTAGTATTTTTGACAATCACCATTATAACAGGAATAGATAATATTTCATTCAGTTTTGACTTGAAGTTCCCTAATGAATAACATCGTTGTGTGCCTTTTAACGCACCTGTTGACTATTTGAATATCTCTTTGGAAAACGTCTACTCATATCCTGTCTTTATTTTTTTATTTGAATTTCTTTTGCTTCTGGGTTGTATGCTCAGTTGTCAGAGTTGTGTCTGAAGCTTTGCAGCACCATGAACTGTAACCCTCCAGGTTCCTCTGTCCTTGGTGTTTTCCAGACAAGAATACTGGAGTAGGTTGTCATTTCCACTTCCAGGAGATATTTCTGACCCAGGGATCAAGACCATGTCTCCTGTGACTCCTGCATTGGCAGGCAGATTATCACTAAGCCACCAGGGAAGCTCTGCTGGGTTGTATGAGTTCCTTTTATAGTTTGAATATTAACTCCCTTTCAGATATCTTGTTTGAAAATATTTTTTCCATTTCCATATCTTTTTTTGGTCATGCTGTTAGTTTGTTCTTTGTGTTTTTTTTTTTTCCCTGCAGATGCTGTCTAGTTTGATGTAGTGCCACTTGGTTATCTCTTATTTTGATACTTTGTTGACATGTCAAATCCAAAATAAATATTTCCAAGATCTATGCCAAGAAATCATTTCCATATGTTTTCCTCTAGGATTTCAATGGTTTTAGGTCTACTTATGTCTTTAATTCATTTAGGAGAGATTTCTTTGACTACCATAAAGTAGTGGTCCAATATCATTCTGCTTTACGTAGCTGGACAATTTTTTCCAATATTACTTATAGAAGATGCCATATTTTCCCTATTTTATATTAATGTGTTCTTTATCATAGATTAATTAACCATCTAAGTGTCATTTTATTAATGGGATCCCAATTTTGTTACATAGTTATGCGTGTCTGTTTTTATGCTACACCCTGCTGTTTTGATGACAGTAGCTTTGTAGTATACTTTTGAAAGCAGAAGGTGTGATGACTCTAGCTCTGTCCTTCTTTCTCAATATTACCTTGGGTATTTCTGGTTTTGTGATTTCTTATGAATTTTAGGATTGTTTATCTGTTTCTGTGAGAAATGCCAGTGAAATCTTGACAGGGATTGCATTGAATTGGTAGATTTGCTTTGACTAATATAAACATTGTAAGAAAAATATTTTTTTTTCCAATCTAGAAACATGGGATACTTTCCCTTTATTTGTATCTTCTTCAATTCCTATCAACAATGTCTTGTAATTTTCAGCATAGAGATACTTTACCTCATTGGTTGAACTTATTCCAAAACATTTTGTTTTTAATGCTATTGTAAGTACTACTGCTTTCTTTATTTCCTTTTTGATAACTTGTTGTTAGTATATACAGTTGCTACTTATTTTTATATGTCAATTTTGTATCCTGCATTTTAGTGAATTTTTTAATTAGTTGTAACATTTTTCACAGTTTTTTTTTAGGATTGTATTGTATGTATGTCATCTGCAAAAAAAGACAATTTTTCTTCTTATTTTCCAAATCTTATGTGTTTTATTTCTTTTTTGTACTTTTATGCTCTGACTAGGGACTTCTAGTACCATGTGGAATAGGAGTGGTGAGAGAGGGTATCCTTGCCTCACTCCTAATCATACAGGTAAAACTTTTATTTTTTTTACAATTTAGTATAAAGTTAGCAGTGGGTACATCATATGTGATGTTTTTATGCATGTTAGGTGTTTTTGCTTTTCATCTTCTTACATTCAAAGGCCAGACAGTAATAGGAAAATTATCAGCAAACAAATGAATTTCAGAAATAAATGATAGAATTTCTCATTAAGGGTGGAACATAACATGGTGACAAAAAAGCCAAAAATGGGAAAATTTCCTTATCAGGGATAACAATAGGGAATCCCACAGAGGATTAGGTCCATACACAAAAGTATGGATATAAATTTTGTTACTGAAAAATGTAAACTAACCATTTCAATTTTGTGAGTGAAAGCCATTTGTGTAAAGATAACTAACGTTATTTTTCTCCTTTCTTATTCTCAACTTCAACAAATGGAAGAAGAAAATCTCACAGTAGTTTCAGAATTTCTTCTTCTGGGATTTTCAAAGGAACAAGAATTGCAGCCCATCACATTCATGATTTTCTTCTCCACGTATCTAATCACTGTGTTTGGAAATCTGGCTATCATCCTAGCCACCATTTCTGACTCCCACCTCCACACACCTATGTACTTCTTCCTCTCGAACCTGTCCTTTGTAGACATCTGTGTTACCTCTACCACCATCCCAAAGATGCTGTGGAACATCCAGAACCAGGGCAAGCTGATAAGCTATGAAAGCTGCATTACTCAGATGTACTTTGTCATACTCTTTGTAGGGTTGGATGACTTCCTCCTAACAGTGATGGCCTATGACCGCTTTGTGGCCATTTGTCACCCCCTGCACTACACAGTCATTATGAATCCATGGCTTTGTGGCATTATGGTCCTGGTCTCCTGGATCATCAGTGTCTTGCATTCCTTCTTACAAACCTTAATGGTTTTGCAGCTTGCCTTCTATACACATTTAGAAATCCCTCATTATTTCTGTGAACTTAATCAGTTGATTCAACTTGCCTGCACTGATACCTTTCTTAATGACATAGTGATGTATTTTGCAGCCCCACTTCTGGGTGGTGGTCCCCTTGTTGGTATCATTTACTCATACTCTAAGATAGTGTCTTCCATTTGTAAAATATCATCATCTCAGGGGAAGTATAAAGCATTTTCCACTTGTGCATCTCACCTTTCAATTGTCTCCTTATTCTATTGTACATGCTTAGGAGTGTACCTAAGCTCTGCTGTTACCCACAGCTCACACTCAAGTGCAACAGCCTCCTTGATGTACACAGTGGTCACACCCATGCTGAACCCCTTCATATACAGTCTGAGAAATAAAGACATAAAGAGGGCTATGAAAAGATATGTGGGGATGACAGCTACAGAGGGTGCAACTGTCCTGGAGTTGAACAAGGCCATATGAGTACAGGATTTATAATCTTGGAGCCAGAAGGAATAATTTCAGCAGTTTTACCTCTTATCATTTTCCTGCTCTCCCAAATTATTTTCTATTTCAAATTATATGACTTTGGATTTCTTTAAAAATCCTTTTTCTCTAATATAAAATATAATATCAAGCCTTATAGCAGAAAGTGAAGAAGAACTAAAGAGCTTCTTGATGAAATTGAAAGAGGAAAGTGAAAAAGTTGGCTTAGTTCAGAAAACTAAGATCATGGTATCCAGTCCCATCACTTCATGACAAATAGATGGGAAAACAATGGAATCTGTGACAGACTTTACTTTCTTGGGCTCTAAAATCACTGCAGATGGTGATGCAGCCATGAAATCAAAAGATGCTTGCTCTTGGAAGCACAGCTATGACCAACCTAGGCAGCATATTGAAAAGCAGAGACATTACTTTGCCAACAAAGTAAGAGGGTAACACACAAGAAGGCCAGGGTCTCCAAACAGAGGAAATAGATTGCAAGTGTCAGACATTTTTTATCTCTCTCTTAAGTGGCAGGAGGAAACAAACTAGTGATATATTTTTTCCCCTTCTGTATACAAATTTTAAAAGAGGTTTCTCTTAAAATACTATGTTGCCATAACGACACCTGGTTCCACCTGAACTTAACTTTTCTCAAATCTTGAGCTAACCAATGCATTTTTCTTATGGAAATGTTTGTCTTAAACTATGTTAATATACTATGCATTTATCCCAAACTCTATCTTCAAGTCGTTTCCGCCTAAAGGCTCAGAACTGACTTGACAAACCACTATGTTATCCTCATACATTGTTCTCCTAATCCATATAAATGGAACTATTTGTATTGTAATTTGCCATTCTACAAGATTCAAGTCAATAATTTTTTGGCCCAGGATGACTGACCTGGTGCCAAGATTATCTCAAAATGCATCTTGTGGGTGAGGGGCCTTGTGCCATTCTCTGAGTTTTTAGGCATTCCTCTTTCATTAACAGACTGCTAGTACCTATATAACATCCAGCTAAAAACTAGCAGGCAGGTATTCTTTCTGCCCCCTTCTAATGTCTATGTCAGAAGCTTCCTCTATCTCTTTTATACTTTAATAAAACTTTATTACACAAAAGCTCTGAGTGATCAAGCCTCGTCTCTGGCCCCAGATTGAATTCTTCTCCTCTGGAGGCCAAGAATCCCAGCGTCTTTCGTGGTTCAGCAACAACCTTTCAAAATGTCCGTCTAGTCAAAACTATGGTTTTCCCAGGACTCATGTATGGATATAAGAGTTGGACTGTAAAGAAAGCTGAGGGCTGAAGAATTGATGTCTTTGAATTGTGGTTTGGAGAAGACTGTTGAGAGTCTCTTGGACTGCAAGGAGATCAAACCAAATCCATCCTAAAGGAAATCAGTCCTGAATATTCATCGGAAGGACTTGATGCTGAAGCTGAAATTCCAATACTTTGGCCACCTGATGCAAAGAACTGACTCATTGGATAAGACCCTGATGCTGGGAAATATTGAAGGCAGGAGAAGGGGACGATAGAGGATGAGATGATTGGATGGCATCACTGGCTCAATGAGCATGAGTTTGTATTGGCCCTGGGAGTTGGTGATGGGCAGGGAAGCCTGGCATGCTGAAGTCCATGGGGTTGCAAAGAGTCAGACACAATTGAGTGACTGAACTGCCTGAAGCCATGCTTTGTTTCGCTTTTTTAGTAAAAGATTAGTCATGAGTTGTATACTCCCTTGGAAAGAAATACACTCAGAAACAATCATATTTATATGTTTATACAAGATTTAGAGGAAGATCTCAGACAGTTTTTTCCTTTTGGGGCCTTCACTTTTCTATATCTCTATATTAATTTATAGGTGAACTTGACTGTTATCTATATTGTGTTTTATATCCAATCACTGACTTTTAGTCTTCTCACTAGGATCCTTTTCTCTTATTCAATTCCATGTCCACAATGCCTGCCATGGCCATTGGCAAGAAATAGGTCATTAGGTTATGTGTCTCCATGTGGAGTATTTATTCAGTACAACTTAGAATAAACAAATTAACTTAATATGTACTTGGAGTCATTGTTGCTATTCGGTCACCTAGTCATGTCTGACTCTTTCCGACCCCATGGACTGCAGCACGCCAGCCTTCCCTGTCCCTCACCATCTGCCAGAATTTGCCCAAGTTCATGTCCATTGAGTCGATGATGCCATCCAACCATCTCACCCTCTGTTGCCCTCTTCTCCTTCTCTCTTCCCAGCATCAGGGTCTTTTCCAGTGGGTCAGCTCCCTTGCATCAGGTGGCCAAATGATTGGAGCTTTAGCTTCAGCATCAATCCTTCCAATGAATATTCAGGATTGATTTCCTTTAGGATTGACTGTTTTGATCTCCTTGCTGTCCAAGGGACTCTCAAGAGTCTTCTCCAGCATCACAGTTCTTTGACACTCTACCTTTTTTATGGTCCAGCTCTCACATCCATACATGACTACTGGAGAGAATATAGCCTTGACTATATGGACCTTTTTTGGCAAAGTGATGTCTTTGCTTTTCCACACATGTCTAGGTTTGTCATAGCTTTCCTGCAAAGAAACGATTGTCTTCTAATTTTATGACTGCAGTCACCATCCACAGTGATTTTAGAGCCCAAGAAGAGGAAATCTGTCACTGCTTCCACCTTTTCCCATTCTATTCACCATGAAGTAATGGGACCAGTTGCCATGATCTCAGTTTTTTTTTTTTTTTCCAATATTAAGTCATAGATGACCCTAAATATGACAAAGCAAATTTTAAAATTATACTTTATATGCAAAATATTTGCTTTTCAAGTTGTAAATCTACTCATTGACATATGGAAGATTTGTGTTTATCTTTTAAAGGGTTTATATAATGGAGTGAAGGACTTGGAGAGTTTCATGTATTTCAATAGGATTGATCATCTTCCTAAACCTGTTTGAAAATGTCCAGTGCTGCCTACCTATATAAATCCTTCCATTTCTATAGATGATATGCCTCAATCTTTTCTAAGTTGCAACATCATCTCTAAAGGAGTAGTGGACTAACATATTATTCATTCCATGTCTACTTGCAGAATGAACAAGATGTTAATCTTCATGAGAAGTTATGACTCACAGGAGAGTTTGAATTCCTTTCCAATCATGTGATTCAGGGACAGCAGATTTTCTGCATGAAAATACAACTCCTTCTCACCTGTCCAAGTTCCCTGGAACAGAACCTCACATTTCTGCATGAAAATACAACTCCTTCTCACCCGTCCAAGTTCCCTGGAACAGAACCTCACATTTTAGTAGAGTTGTCTGAAATAAACTGTATCAGAGTTATCATGAACAAAGTGTCCTCAAATATCAGAACAGAGATCACTGACATAAGAAGCAGTGAACTCTTAGAACTGTCCTTAGTTCAGATGACTTTGTTGTATCAGTTAACTATTGTTGTATAATAGGTCTTCAGAAAAGCAAGTGGTTTAATTGAATGCCTTTATTATTAAAAGAGACTACACAATGTGGAGTTGTTCTGAACTCTACTGAGTCCCTTATGAGTGTGGAGTCAGCTGTCAGGCTCTGTGGTGGGTTTTAAGGCTCATCCATGTCCCATGTGTGTCTATAGTGCCTTTTGGTCTTGAGCCAATTTATGGTCAGTTTACTTTATTTCTATTATTAAAGTTCTATTTACAGAAAAAAAAGCCATATTTAGCATATAAATTACTTTGACTTCAATGCACTGATCCTATATGTATGTGACATTTTGCTTTTTTCATGGTTAGAAAACATACCTTTCTCTCATTTTAAGGGTGAATCAGCTATTTTTGTGCTTTCTAGGTCCTACTTCAACCAAGAGATTTTTTTCATTTAAAGAATTCCAGTTAAATTAATTTACAAAAAATAAAGAATTCATTGGCATATAATGAACATAATAAATTGCACCCATTAAGTGTAAATTTTGATGAATTAAAGAAACTTTACAGAATCAAGAGGGCATACTGCAGTTTTGCATTTGTATATATTAATAATTCAAGAAAATACAAAATACCCGTTAAGGGTTTTGTATGTAATTAGTAAAAATTTAGTTTCCATAAACCTCAATTTTCTTATTTTTGAAAGTGCATGCATGCTAAATTGCTTCAGTTGTGTCTGGTTCTTTGCAACCCCATGGACCATAGCCTGCCAGGTTTCTCTGGCAGGATTTCCCAGGTAAGAATACTGGAGTGGGTTGCCATTCCCTTCTCCAGTGAATATTTCTGACCCATGTCTCCTGCATTGGCAGGTGGATTCTTTACCACTGAGTCGTCTGGGAAGCCTATATTTCTGAAGTTACTGTGGGATTAAAAAAAAAATAACTTCAGAGAGATGTATGGTGAATTTAAAAAGTGTGTGGAAATATATCATTAAATTCAAAGAAAACATTCATGGGAGTGGTCTGTGTATGTGCATTTGTACACATTCTTCTTTCAAATAAGCACAAACACGTTTATGTAAAAATGCACAGACAACAATGATCTCTTCCTTTATGGTGAAAGAGAATTCGAGAAGAAGTTGGAGAGGATAGAAATCAAAGTATGAATGTTTGAATTAACATGAACTGTTAAGTGTAGAAATTCAGAAACAGAATTAAAATAGAATCAGTGACCTTAATTTTCATAGTAAATTATTTTCTTATATTTATTCCTCAAAGGCCTCAGAATCAGACCATCAGACTCACACTTACATTTATGAAAAGGCCATTTACTGGGCCAGCTAGAGTGGGTAGCCTGTCTCCAGAAGTACTTTAAACTTAGTCTTCTATTAAGATGGAATTTCAAGGTAACATATCCTCACCCAAGGTAAGCTAAACAAATGAAATGAGAGGCTTAAACTTAGTTGACTGAGACAAAAGTTTATTTAATATATAATTAAGTTTATATAATATGTAATATATTTTTATAATATATAAACTAACATATTATAAGGTTTTTGGGATTTGTAGGTAGACATCTTTTGGAAGTCCTTATTTTGTTTACTGGCTTCCCAAGTGGCTTATTGGTAAAAAATTCACCTGCCAATGCAGGAGATGCAGGAGA